TGTCAGAAACATTCACTACAACACTAGAAAATAAGAATTGGGTATGTGAGACGACAAAGGAAACACGGAAAAAGTGTGGGTTTGTCCCCAGGCTTCTTTTTTGTAGCAACCACATTGGCTTCAGCTGGATAACAAATTGTCCTGGAATTTTTGGCACTGCAGCAAACATGTCAGCTCCCTGGTTACGCCTTCGTCACTGCTCAAAGAACCACACACTTTAACCTTCCTGCTCTTTCCATAGGCCAGGGCTTGTCCCGTCTCCAGGAAACTTTATATGTTGTCTAAACTGAGCATCCCAGCAGGCTGCAAGGTTGATGGCAGTTCAGGATTCAGAATGTTGACCAATTCCTACCTGGATCCGCACCACCAAGCTGTAACCTAGCCTGCCTGTGCAGAAACAGGAGCCGAGCCACATGGTTAACAGCTTTTGTAACTGCTACTCTCAGCAATGAGGGACTTAACTTCCCCAGTACACCTGATTCGGTGAGACAGCCTATCTTCAAGGGAACTGAAAATAAAGCAACGTCAAAATTTAATCTCAGGGCAGGCACAGGTGTAACCAGATACTTTTAAGTGCAGGAGCAGCTAAGAGGCCAGGTGTTGCTGACCTGCCCTCAAGTCCTTGGGACCTCCAGTCCAGAACATCAAGCAGAGGAACTCATCTCCACTACAAGTCTGCCTCCAAGTCACTAGTCAGGGACCAGTCAAGGAGAAAGTCCCAAGACAGCACCTAAATCACATCATTCAAATGCAGAAGACACGAAAAAAGCAAGGGCGTCCGTGTATGTTGTTGTTCTGTGCCATCGAGTTGGTTCCAACTCATAGTAACCCTATATAGGGTTTCAGAGAGTGACTGGTAAGCTTGAACCACTGACCTTGTGGTTAACAGTCCACTGCTTATTCTACAGTGCCACACCCAGAAATTATTTTTGTAAAAATAAAAAGGGTGGGAAGGAGGAATATGCATCTGCAGAAACCATCTCTGCAAGGAACCAGAAGAAGCTGGCAGCACTCCAACCTCTGGGGAGGAAACTGAGCAGCTGGGGTAAAGGTAAGAGGGAGATGTCACCTTTGTACCTTTTAAGCTTTGAACCACATGAGTGCATAACCTTTCCAAGCGTAAATTCAAACTAAAGATAAATGCAGACTACAGTCGTCTTCTTATTTATAAAGATAGAAAAGCAGAGAGGAAATCCAGAAGAATATATAAATGGCCAACAATGGCTTACTTTTGCAGAATAGGATTCGAAATTCCCAGAGCACTGACTCATGATGCTGAATAATGTCACATCTTGTATTACAATTATTTGTATGCCGGTCTCATCTCTGTCAAACACTGAAGAAATACAGCCTATCACTCAAGCTCCCCCGCTTCCAGGCAGAGGAAAAAAAAACTGGAAAAGAACTAGTATGGAATAAAACAACACTCAAAATTATAACAATCATTAAAAAAAAAAGACCACCCAATGAAAGAGTGAACAACACTAAGTTCATTCAGGCGTACAGGAATATTACCAACAGGAAACCATGACCAAGTCAAAAATCACTGAAAACAAAGTGTCCTTCCCAGAAATTATGGGAATTCAATCTGCATGTGTGCATGTGTTGGGAGCTTTGCAAAACTGCCAAGCAAAGCACAGCAGGCAGGTTTCGTAGCGGAATTCAGTACATTCCTACTGGAAGACATGCTCTTTGTTTAGGAAAATTCCTTCACAACCTCTTGAGTGTTGAGAGATGAAGCTTCCTCTAACACATAGTCTGAAAGGATACAGAACTTGGATTTTTTGACAAAATGGAATGTAAAAAGTGAGTGAGTGAGTGAGTTTTTAGGGAAAATAGGTGAGTGGACTAGAAAAATGATGGAGATGGTCCAGAAAAAGAGGTCTCAACACCAGGCAAGAGGCTGCAGGTCTAAGGACACAAAGTTGGGAAAGTGAGTCACTGGATGTGTGCAACTGAACTTGAAGCTATCTGCTCTACGCCATGAACTCCTCTCCACTGCTTCTAAGCGACTGCTGCGCACACCACCCAGAACCAGGTGTGTGTGGAAGCAGTAATCCAGAATGGAGCAGATGGAGCTGAAGTATTCTATAGTTGCATCATTTTCAATACTGCTCTTCCCCAAGTCCTCAATTTACTACCCTGCCTGGAAACAATCCAAAAACCAAAAGCAACATTAAACAACAAAAAAAATATGGTTGCTTTTAAGACACTGGCCAGAAGGCAGTGAAGGGCAGCGATCATGGAGAGAAAGAAAACAAATCTTATGTACTCTGGATAAGACTAGTAATAGATTAGGTATTGCAAAAGAACATATCTGTGGACCTGAAGACACACTAACAGAAATTATCATGAAATAGAGAGAAAAATAATTTTGTAAGTTATAAGACAATCAGTGAGCTTTAGAAAACTTCAGATGGCTTAACATACACATGAAACTGGAGCTGCTATACCAAAACATATGTCTGGGGAAAAAAGTAGTTGAAATTATAAAAAAATTTGATGAAAACAATAAATCCAAAACACAAGAAACATGAACTACCAAGACACATCATAAAAAAATTGCTCAAAAATCTTTTGGCCTTAAAAAAAAAAAGACACATTCTATACAGAAGACAAAAAAGCAAGGAAACAGCAGATTTCTTGGTGACAATCCAAGAGAGAATTGTGGACCAGTATCTTAAAAGTACTAAAAGAGTTGTCAACCTCGGATTCTACACTCAGCAAAAAAATCTTTCAAAAACAAAGGTGAAATAAAGACTTTTCCAGACATATAAACAGCAAAAGAATTAATCACCAGCAGACCTATATAGAAGAAAAGTTAAAGGCCTTTAGCAGAAAAATGATACCAAATGGAAATACAATCTATACAAAGAAGTGAGGTGTACCAGAAATAAGAACTACATGGGTAAATACAGTGTTTTTTAGTTAAGTTTTCTTTAAAAGAAAATGGACTGTTTCACCAACAACAAGAACAATGCATTATGGGGTTTAAAACTATGCATACGTAAAATGTATGAGAACAATAGCGGAAAAGCTGGGAGAGGAAAAGCAGCGTACTGTTGTAGAGTTTCTATGCTATATATGAGGTGGTATACCACTAGCGGGGTCCTGGTGTGGCGCTGTGGGATAGTGCACTGGACCGCAAGGTTGGTTTGAACCGTAAGGTCGGTGGTTCAAATTCACCAGACGTTCCTCGGAAATCCTATACAGGGTCGCTATGAGTCCAAACCAACTCAAAGGCACTTAACAACAACAACAACATAACACTAGCAATATAACTCTACACCATGTAGACTTTGGGAAGCTAAAATTGTACATTATAAATCATAAACCAACTACTGAAGTAATAGAGTCACAACCAATAAACCAACAAAGAGGATAAAACGCAAATCATAAAAAAAATCCTCCTACTCAACTCCCTTGTCCCTCCTGCCGGCTTTTCCCCACATGGAACCCTCCTCCACCGTGGAATGAACCCTGCTACCAGCTTTTGTGTTGGTTCTACCTGAACACCTTGTGTTCTAGCACTGTTAGCCCAAATTACACAACATGTCAAACTCAGAGCAATCAAAATCAACTACCCCCCAAAGGACCTGGGACACTGTCCACTAGCCCTATACTCCTCTCCTCTGGGCATTTCCCCAGTGGCTATTTCACCTCTCCTCCACTGTCTGCAAACTACAGAAGCATCACTGCACACTCTCAGCAAGAGTGCAGCTCCTTGAACAGAAAGAAGTCACTCTCCATCTGCATACAACCTCCTCTGCTCCTTCTGATGGGACGATAGAAACAATTTAAGCTATAAAGCACTGTCCTTTAAGACCGAGCCAGTGGTTTCAAAAGTTCCTAGATCCAAACTATTTCCTATAAGAAGGGACCTCCAAAGAGACTTGACAGATTTTTAAACATTAAACACCATCACAGAGAAGACATGTTTGGTCATTGAAGACTTTTAAACGTATGCGGCACCATTCCCTACTTACTTATTATCAGCACCTACAAGTGGAAGAGTGTGTGCTAAATATAAACAGCAGCACTGCCCAAAGCTTGGCCAATGGCTGCTGTGAGGTCTCCCACCAGTTGAGGCAGGATTCACGGGTGCCGTTGAGGCTGTTACATACATAATGAGTCAAGGAAGGTTTCTGCGTATTGACCAAAGGTTGTTTACTTCTTCGTAGGAAGTTGAGGTCCCTTAAACCAAAAAAGCCTGCTGGTACCAAACTCAAATTTGTACAACATCCAATTGTTTCAAAAGTAAGCAATTTTTTAGTTACTTACAGCCTATCCTTTTTAAATGCCCTGTGACAATGTGTCCAACATCTGCTAGCTCACAATTAAGAAAAAATCCTATAGTCACAAGGCCCCTAGGGTGCTTTCGGAGCTTTCTGAACCAGGTACATCTCTCCTCTTCCCCTTCCTGGTAGCTGTCTGCATGCCTGCTTTTGGAGACCTGATGCTGTGGGGTAACAGCCGGTACATGCAACAGTATGTGGGCCCCAACAAACAGCTTGCTGTACAAAAGCTATCTTGTGATCATCTTTTTCCATGTTCAGTCCTGAACGCCCTTAAACGTACTACTACCCTTCAAGCAAAGGGCTCTTTAACTCTCAAGTCACTTTGCACAGAGTAGCAATGAAAGAATCAGAGACTGAATGTTGATCTTTGAAACCATGACTTAAACCCAATCTCAGTATTTAATTACCTTTATTTTCATAATAAATGGTTTTAAAAAAAAAGGAAGGGGGGGGGGGTCTGAGGAAGGAACAGGGGACAGTAAATATTACATTGTAACTATATTCTAGCCAGAAAATTAAGACTCATATTAACAGCTAATCGGTATTTTAAAGAAAATTACGGCACCCAGAGTCTGGTCTAGATCTATGTGCACGGTCAAGTTTCGGTAAATAAAAGAGTCTGGAGAAATGAGTTCTTTCCATGCTCCAGTGACAAAGAACGAAAGTTCACGGCGTGCTGGACAGTGCAGCTCACAGCTGAGCTCAGCAGTGGAATCGCGTGGAGAACTTGGGAGACACAGGCACAGTCAAAGGCTGGTCACTTGATTTAACCTCCACTGTCTGATACTTACGTATTGGATTAGCTTTGTGTACCTGCACAGAAAGGAAAAAGTTACCATTAATGAGGATGTAAGACAATGACACTTGAGAGTTTACACATTTTTCTTCCTGAAAAAAATGATCATGCAATGTTATAGATTCCAGTTAGGATTTTACATAAAACCGTAACTGGAAAAGCACATGAGCTTTGGATCTCAAGTAGGTTTCAAGCTTTGGATCTCAAATGAAACGTTTCAAGTCTTTGTTTATTGGGTCCCTTAACTTTTACTAAAAGAATGTCAAACCTATCTCCAATTTGACTGTTAATTACTAGGGTATAATGGGGTCTACTCAATTGCAGCACAGAATTGCTACACTTTAAGAATTTGCCAGTATACAATCTTAAGCTTACTTTCCTTAATATTCACCAAAAACATGGGCAAGGAAAGTAATAATCAGGAAGGGTTGCTAGGTGATGGTCTCCTCCATCCTTCCCAAGTTACTCCTAAGAGCAACCCTCAGTCAAGTCCTCAGTATAGAGGACTTTGACTAATCCCAGTAAGAAACAGTTTTGTGACGGGGTCAAACCCAAGAGGCTAGTACCAAGTATTGAAGGAAAATCAGAGATGTTGAGGTCAGAAGATAGGTTGGTTTTGTCTTTTCATCCAATCAGAAAGGTTGCCTGGATTTTGTGAAGACGCTAGTCCCTTGAATAGTTGATTCCAGTGGTGTAGAGCTACATGCCAGCTGCAGTCCAGCACTTCAAGAAAGCAGCTCAACAACTTACATATTTCTATCTTCATTCTTTCATTAATCTACTACGTTCCATCTAAAACTATCTTTTTCCTCACTGATGCAGTTAATGCTACTTGTTGTCCTCCTAGCAAAAGGGTCTACAGGTAAATTAAGATTTCTTTTTGGGTAACTAGTATCTAAATCACAACGCTAATATCATTCGGACCATATGTAGCACACCCACTGCCATGGGTTTGACTCTGACTCACAGGACTCTACAGGACAGAACAGAATTGCCTCAGAGGGTTTTCCAAGGCTGTAGGGATGAAGCAGACTGCCACACCTTTCACTCACAGAGCAACTAAGGGATTTGAACCACTGACCTTTCACCTAATGTTGTTGTTGTTGTCAGGTGCCATCGAGTCGGAACCGACTCATAGCGACTCCATGCACAGCAGAACGAAACAATGTTCGATCCTGGGCCAACCT